TTCCCCTCTTGAAAGGTAGCTCTTAAGTTCACAGTTCAAGTTCATAGTTCAGAATAGTACCCGAATATAGTCCTATAGTTCTATAGTGCAGTAGTGCCCTACAATAATAATTAAATCTTTAATAAAGACCCTTTGAACCGTCCAATACAATAACACTCTTTAAAATCTTTATACTTATCTTGTAACGCTCCTTAACGATCGCCTTGACCTTGTGCCAAATCGTAAATCCGCCTCTACTACCCGTTGAGGAATGTTACGCTGCATATTCGGTTTTTAACCTCTAACACTATCAAGAATCATGGGATTTACTTAAATTTATACGTTGACCAATATAAATAAAAACCAAATACTGATTGGACGAATTTAAAATTTATTCGTTTTTTTAGTTTCGTCCTATAAATTATTTAACTCTCCAGAAATTACATCACTATCTTTGGGCTGGAGATTCTAAAACAGCGATATAGTTTTCAGAAAGTTAGGTAATTTACAGAACGAAACTGAAAAGATTTTCGGGTAACGAGCAAATTTTTCATTTGTCCAAAATTTATGAGAACAGCTGTAAATACTTTGTATGGGGAAGTGTAATAATGCAGTACATTACTACTAGTCAGAAATAATGCTTTTGTATTATGTTTTTTTCTGACGCAGAAAGTTAACCAAAAATACGATAAGTGATTAAATAGTACTATTAACAAGTTTAAACCCATTTGCTAAATTCATAAAACAAAACTTACAAGTTTCCATTTAAAGATTTTTTACACTCCTGACTTCGTTAAGACAGACAGGTTGCAAATAACTAGTATAATAATTATTGAAAATTTACATGGTCAAGATGTGAAAATATCATTATTGCTAAAGTTTATTATTGATCAGTCGTCAGTCGTACATATGAACTTAATATTATTGCAAAGTGAATTCAAGTTTATTATTGTTAAATATAGATTAATGATTGGTAAATATGGTTACGGCGGAGAATAAATCATTGTATATGTAAGTGGAAACGGATCTATGAATGTAAAAAGGAAAAATCTCGATTAACTATTACTTTCGTATCACACATGTTTCAGATCAGCCGAGTCTAGCAAAAAAAAAAAAAACAGGAACGAGGTTTTCCATTAGCCGCACTCAGATATGTTAAGACGTTACTTTCAAATTTCCGTTAACAATTGACGTACGTACGTAGCTACGTGTCATTTTAATCGGTATGATTTTACCGATCGATAATAAATTAAAAAACTATTACATCGATATTATTATTTTAAAATATTTAGAATAACAAACTTAATGATTTTGCATGTATTTGGTAAACAAATTACAAAGAGTAATACTGTTCTTATAACGAGAACTACTCTTGCTATTACTATGACAATTATTAATTTTGACTAGTTCATTTGTAATATTTTAGAGATCTTGCATTTCGTAAATATGCCTATTGAATTTATGTCTTTTTTGAATAACCATACAAGGCAATGCTTGTCTTTTTATTTTAACCTATTTGATATTTTAAATTAACACACGTAAATGCTTTTTAATATTGACATATAATGGTATAAAAAACCTAATATTTAAAGCTGGGCTTTTCATGTTTACTTAATGGAGTTTTTGTAAAACGGCCAGACAACGATTGTATTTTCCATTATATGTCTTTTAGTAGTTTTCAATAATTATCAAAGGTTTGAAGTGAAAGAAATGAAAAACTAATGAAGTATTTGAAGCCATGTTGTAAAGAAAATATCAAAAGAGTTTTGGTTTACTGTATATATTTAAAAATATTATATAAAACTTGCATTAAAATTTGACGTACGTTACATTTTAATCGGCGTAAATTGTAACCTCAGGTACGTCGACAGCAGAGCCAGTGCCAGTGGTCATTAATAGCAAACGTAGCTAGCAAAAGTAGCTAGTAAAATTAGCATGATTAGCAAACTAAAATTTATTATTTACATCATCTTCGCCAAAGTTATGTTCGTTAAAAATTTTATTCTTTCAATATTTTTTTACTCCATCTATCATCTATAATATGCTTATAATATGAAATGAATGCTCTATATCTACACACAAAAGAGGAATCCAAATCAAAGCTTTAATTAATTCAAACATTAATAGCTTGTTTATAGTTAAATTTTGTTGATTTGATATTTCGACAGGTTCAGTAATTTGGTTTTGTCTTTTGTGCTTATTAGTTTTTAAATATGATATGTTATTTACAATTATCAAGACATTTGCTTCTTTTTCATAAAATAATTTTGCACTGAGGATATTTATTTAAAAGCGTTGTCATCTTTAAGAAGAAAATTTATTCGATATTATATAAATTAGGTCAAATGTAATACAGTCATCATCCCCTATAATCACGCTGTTTGTTCCAAGCAAACAATATGTAATTATAAAAATTCAATTATAATGTGCTTATATAGAATTTTTTAAGTTTATTAATGGTTTTTTTAAAAATTTAAGGTGATTATATAGAATTTGTGATTATATAGGAGGTTATTATATAGGAGTAGGACTGTATCAGAAACTATTCAAAATAGTGGGCATGGGCGTTAATTATAACTACTAATACCAGTCATAAAAATTTCGCACATCATGTGATCTTATTGCAAAACCAAGAAAAAAAATGAAAGCGACGTCTAACATATCGATATGTACAAAATTAATAAAAAACTAGCATCATGCTTTTTAATTTATAATAAATCAACTCAGCCCTGAAAATTCAAAGCCTAAAATTTGGTTTCTTTTAGAAGCTGTCTATGCGTTAATATAAACGGACGTATAGTAAATTTCTAATGAATTCGTTCTAAGTTGCTCGCCCTATGCATACCGTCTTTAAGTGCATTCGAATAAAAACACTATGAAATATTAAGCAATAGTCAAACTAAAATATCCGATTCTTTTGTTTATGACTCTTATATTTATCTACTAAATTATCGCGAATAAAATTATTACATATTCTATTAGAATCTAGTCTAGTTTTCTAGATTATCTATTTAGTAGACATTTAGTTAGCTTAAGTTTTTTTCGATTTTTTTTTTTTTTTTAATTAGGTCGCATAAATAAATAAAATTGGTTCTCGTTACATGGCCGGGTGAAAAGTTAAAATTCTTTTTACATATATTCAAAGTTGCTATACCAATGCAAACTATAAATTGAAACTCGTTTTATTCGCAATATATGTCTGTTAAATTCATACTAATTTTGATTCGTAAGTATGAAGAATCTAAGCATTTAAATATGTCAATATGCTATTCAAGTTCATGAATATTAACTATATATTGATTTTTTTTCTTTAATTCACGAGTATAAAAAACATTTATTAAGCATTTAAATAAGCTATTCAAGATACGAACTGTAAATCGTCGTGCCTTACGTTCACCAGAATTTTATCAGGCCAAAACTGGTTACTATATGATTTTAAGAAAGCTATTTTCCCAAAGAACGTAATCTCAACCAAATCAGCCAACTTTATGGTATTGGAATCAGTGTCAACTTGACGAAAACCTTTTGATGCGTTGTATTACAGCCTAAATTTTTTCTCTACATAGAACTTCAGTTGTAGTCATACCCATAAATACAACTCCCTAAATACAGCAATGGGACTTATAGATAAATGCACGTTCTTTATTCTGTAATTGCACGCTAGTTGTTTGACTCATTCATAAAAGACTCCCTCTAAAAATGCATCATGTGATCCCCAACCAATCTAATGTATTATTTATAGCTGCAGGGTCCGGTAAGAGTGAATAACCAGTAGTAGTTAAAAATAGGGTAAATGGTTTTGCCGGGCTTGGCTACACATATCTTTATCACGTGATAATGACCGTGCTATGATATTATTGGCTATCTCTAATCGCAACCCCCATAAATGCGCTTAGGCAATAACTTTATTTATGCAAGAACGTATTAAATTTGGTTAACCATTTTAGCGATATATTTAACGTTAATAACATATTTAGTTATAAATCGCAAAAAAATTATTTGGCACTCAAGTTATGATATATATCAAGTAAACAACTTTATTAATGAATATACTAAGAACGAATTAAAATTGGTCAAACAGGTTTTTATCGAAAACAATTCTTCGTGTTAATATTAATATAAGTTTTCAGCAAAATAAGAAAATCCTGTAATAAAGTAATTACGAATAAGTTGAGTAATAAACTTGGCTAGAGATTAAATATTTGAAGATTTTACTTCTACTATGTTATGTGAATACACCCTTAAATATAATAGAATATTGTAGTCTATAATAATATCGGCAACAAAAAAAAAAAATAAAAAAATAAAAATTAGATACGTAACATTTTGACATTCCTTCTGCCGTAAAACATCCATAATTTAGACACCCATGTATAGTTTGAGATACGTCAGACGTTTATCATCAGAATGAAATAGTATAATGAACGTTGTAATACATAAAATTAACAAAATAGTTTCTCTTTAATGGTTTTTTTCGCAAATAATGCATACATATTTGTATCAAATTAATCACTCCTTTAAACGGTTTTATTGGCCTGCAATTTCATCCCTGATCTGTGATTTAGCTGCAAATTATATTGGATCATATTCTATATAATTGTAGATTTAAAGTTAAATTGACGATTTAAGGGTAAAGCATCCATTTATTTTGCAACAAACTTTCAAGAAAAGCCAAAAAAATATATTGTATGATTCCACAAATATAATGTCAAATGAAAATGGATCAAATATGTTTCATTTTTCATATGAGAATTCGTTTGGTTGGCTGATAAATGCTGTAATTTAATCTTTGACAATTCGTTTTCCGAATTAGAATTACAGATCTAGATTTTTTATACGATTGTCCTTCCATCAGTTCCACAATGACATATCGATCTGGTACACATTGCCTTGGTGCCTCCACAATGCTATTTAAAATAAACTCTAGAACTGTAGCACAATCATCAAAAATTTTTATTATAAAAAAAAGTTAAATATCTTTTTAAGTTTGATTTATTTTTCGTATTTATCGCACATTATAAATGGACGTAAATCATTCAAATAGTTTTATTATTTTAGAAAATGTATTTGGACTTATTGGAACTGTCTTACGATCGATTCAATTAGTACCTCAAGGTATTATTAGGCTTATCAAATAACTTATAATAATAATAATTTTTCATTGTCTCGTTCTCAATTATTTTCAAATATATAGTTTATAAAATTTGGCGCAATAAATCAGCCAAAGGTAAGGCGCAACACAGTATTTAAGGGAATTATATCAACATAGCAATTATCAATACTGCATAATAGCATTAAAGGTCATATGTTGCTGCGTCATATAATTCTCTCATATCCTATATTCAGTAAGATACTTAATGATGATTGTAAAATTATTTCTTTAAAAAATCACATGATCTTTTCAAAAGGTCTTTCGTCTGGAACACTTATAATCTGGGTAAGCAACAATTGATTCATAATAAGCTCTTATCCTCTTTATATAATATTAAGCCCTTCCGATAAATCAATAAGGCATCATCCGGCATGTTTGCAGGAATATATGCAGTTGCCATTCAACTTTCGATACCATTAATGATTCAACCGCAGATGTTTAGCATAGCAACTTGGTTTTGCTTAATACAAAGTTTGTATTATGACCATCCCTATTTTATTGGTAAAAAAGTTAGGGCCGGTTTGTTATTTTCCGGCATTTGTATTGGGTGCGCTATTTTTGAAATGGCCTGTATTCTTGGAATTAGAGTGAGTATTATTATTATTATTATTATTATTATTATTATTATTATTATTATTATTATTATTATTATTCATGCTGGATATATTTTAAATTGTCATTGCATGAAGTTCTTTTTATGATTTGTTTGTTTTAAAACTAATTAATATTTTATTTTTTAAAATTTGAGGCTGCAAATGAAAAAAACATTAAATGGCCTGAAACAGTCAGCGGAATATTACCAATTATTTTATGTTTCACTGGATATATACCTCAATTTTATCAAATATATTGTATGTCTTATGTTCATAAAGTTTATTTCTGTATGTTTTTATATTGATTATATATTTATATATATTTTTAAAATAGGTGAGAAGATCGTGCATGGCATTTCATTCTTATTTTTAGCAATGGACATATTCATAAATTCGCTTTACACAATTAGCTTAGGTATTGGAATTTTTTTATGATTTATTGTGATAGAATCAATTTATATTAACATATTTTGGGTCTTTTTTTAAAAGCATTCAGACCACCACCATTTGAGGTGCTAGCATCATTACTTTATCTTTTCGTAGTTACACTTGATCTATTAATTATATTTTTATACTATCTTTTGAATTGGATAAATGATAATTTACGTAAGTCGGTTCAACTTGAACAAGATAGTTTACCATAAGTAAAAAGAAAAAAATGTGAAATAAATGTGAAATAAATGAAACACGTATTCGACTATCTTACTAACAAAGATGCTCATCTCAAGCAAAAAAACGAACAAAGAAATAAAATTATAACCTTTTGGAGAGTGAAAATTTTGAAATACAAATCAATTTGGTTTTATCTAATTTAAATCTAGTAATAGAAACTGATATGTACCAGTGTTTGGGTCTGATCAAAAAAATAAAAATCTGGATATTCATTTGTTCAACTATTTAAATATCTGGATGTTAATCGAAAAATCTAGCAATAATGAATATACAACTTGGGTTACAACCCTAATTACAACTAATACTCAAAGTTGTAAATATGTCGTAATGCCGCATCGTTGTAAATGCCGTAACAGGCAATATGTTATAATTGTCGTAAAAACATAAGTAATTGTATCTTATAGACGTGTAAAGCTTAATAAATTAATGATAACAAATAACAGTATATGTGAAAGAAAATTGACTTTTAAAATTTTCAAAATATTTGCATTTAAGTGCCATCAGAAAAAACGATTTTTTTGAGTTTATAACTTAATGACTTAATCCCTAAAAAATCTGACCAAATTGATATATATCTAAATTTAATTATCGCATTCTATCACCATTATTCAATCAAATTTTCCAAAGGTTTGATAAACTCGAAGAGTCGAAACCGGTTTGTTTTTTGGAAGTATTCATGCTTGTATGCTTGTATAAGCAAACAAATCTAGAATACTTTTAACATGGACAGGCGCATTATAGGTCTTTAATATATAATATAGTTATAGTTATTAGAAATATACATTTGTATATCAAATATGTCCATGTACGTACGTACGTACGTACATGGGAGGGTTTTGAAATTAGCTTTAATTCCGTAATCTATCTTACATAATTACTGAATCTTGTTAATATCTGATTTAATGTGCCATTACTAATCAGATCATTATACCTATTAATGCTATTGCACCTATTATGGAAAAAAAATTACAACTTCGAGACGAAAGATTGCAACCTTCCAACCAAGTTTGGCACATTTACCCATTGGTATGAATGGAGCTCAAGTCCATTGACCAGTTCCATTGGGTAATCACTATTCCAATGGATCAATGGACAAGTAGATCAAATAATTATATAGCTTTTATAAATGAATTTATAATACTATACAATATGAAATTCGAAACCTTATTCGGACTTATACTAATGGATCAATGGACCAATGGATAAATGGATTATAACATTGGTCCATTGAGATCCATTGACAAACTTATTTTTAATGGACATAGTCCATTGTCAACTTTGTTTCCAACCCTAGTAAACCTATTACGGCAGGCAACCTTACTAATGAATATTTTAATATATTCATAAAAATATTTATTGAATATATTTGGAAATAAATAACTATAATTGTAAAAAAATTAGTATAAATTACATGCGCAATTTTTTTTAATCTTCTATATTTTTATGACGAAATATCATAAACTAATCAAAGTGCACATATATTATTTTCGGTTTGTTTAATATTGTCTAAGGTATTGAATGTATGCTGGTTATTGTCAACATTTTGATAGCATTCTGTTTGCTAAATGTGTATTCAGCCGGTTGAATTCCTATTCAGTAGGGTAAATAGCTAATAATCAAGCAGAATATTATCAGTAGGAATGTTAAATGGTTCTACAAAAACTAAGCTAATAACGAAATTGGTAACTGTCGCATAGTTACAGAACAACTCCAATACTTAGTGAGAGGGATGTTGATCGATAACAGGTTGTATAAAATCAAGAAAGCTAAAGGAAATGTAAAAATAAATTAATGAAAATTAGTATAAATATCAAGCGTAAATAAAGTAAAGCAGTTAGTCTTTTGACTGATAAATACGCTAACAATATGTAAGTTTAAAATACTTACCAGTGAAAGTGTCAGTGTATAAGGTGCCAAGCGAGACCTACTGTATTTAACCTTAAAACAGTTTGAGCAAGATCACAGTAACACCGGTTACAGTGACAGTAACTCTGAAGTCCTAATTACTAATTATTGCACTCATGCCAAACAAAATTAAACTAGTTCATCACATTTGTGATGCTACAATAAAAATCAAATTTCGTCTTTTTTTTTTGTCTTCGTGAATCAAAAAAAGTGCATGATTAAGCAATGTTCAGATCTGTGCTATTGTCTACATACAAGAACGTTTTTAAAAGGTTCAGTATCTTTTCTTTTTAACTCAGTTCAATGTAGGTGTCGAGAAAGGCAAGTGGAAGCCTTTGAACATATCAAAAGGTTGTAGGCATTCGTGACTCTGAAAGGTTGTTTCAAGTCGGTTTCTATTAGGCCATACAAAGTACCCGCCGACCCATTTTTAAAACCAATCTTTTTTTACGACAATTTATTTTTAAAGCAAAAATAATATCTACTTGAATCGTTTTAATTAATTTAAACATCCATAGAATTTGTAATTATACGTATTGTCACGGGTAAATAAGGCGGATCCTAGGATGGAGCGAATGCGACGAATTGTCGCTCCAGAATCGTCGACGTCGCGTAACGTTACTCGAAAGC